AACTCGAGTGTCCCTTAAGTGGTTCATTTTGAAGGTTACAAAGAGGTCAACCCACCAATCAGATGCGAGTGGCACAGAAAGTACGTTCAGTAATGTTAGTTCTCAATAACAAACGCATAGAATGCAAATTATTAGGATAAATATGGCAATTTTATGTCATCAAGACCCAAAGAAGAGAATGGACTCCCCAGTTAAAAGAATATGCACGATGACTTAAAAAATATAAATCGCAAGACTGGAATCAGGGCCACCCATTTACTTGCCATTAAAGTGAATAAGGCAAAGAAGTAGGCCATCATTGGTTCCCTTGGGAATTTTCCAGCCGAATGCGATAGTCTTGGCTGCCTAAAAATATAACCCCATGGAATGGCTGCCTATGTCATAAAACCTCAAAACAACTGCAGTATGGGTTATCAGTCAAATCTACCGAGTCTACATTTTGCCCTCCTTATGGCTTCACCTCATGTCGAGGCTTTGCATTTTGCAACTGCCGTCTTTAAAGTCAATTCTGCTCGCAGAAATGTGAGCGCGGCAATCTCCCGGATTAGACAATTGAGACCAAGACAGAAGTCAACCGAACGCCTAACTACAGAAAGTAGCAAACCAAGTTATCTTAAAGTGTACTTATAAATTTGGCGGTAGGAGGTAGACAATGCCATCACTCACCCACACTTGCCTCTCGCCACCTAATCGTCATTTCTGCAACCTCTAATTTTACTTCTTATGTATCCATTTCTACTTTACTCGGATGCTTTTGGACTAGGAGAAATATTAAACATTACCGGTACAGGATAATTTGGGGTAATCAATGAACCCGCAAAGCATCAGCCAATCGTCGTGGTGGAGGTCATTCGCCCCGACTGTTGTCGCACGCACGCTCGCCCCCACACAATCACCCGTCGGATTGGGTTGGCTTCACACCACCCTTGTACAGTTTTCTTTCGCCCTCTATCCCCTTTAATTTATTCTGTGTCAGAGGCAAATAGTTTTTTCCCACCCACGCCTGGTAGAATGGCATTGTTGACTCAGCCGATGGGACCCGATGAAGAGGCAGGAATTGCTTATCTCACAGAGAGATGACTTGCTTCCCACTTCCCCTCTGCGTCAGTTATGCCAAAGCTTTCTTTTGTTCCTCCGCTTCTTTTTTTACGGAAAAGATGACTAACAAGGTTAACATAGAAGAATTTCTGCAGGATGCCAAGCCAATAGCAACTTGATAAAAGGGTGTCTGTTATGCCAAGGTGAGTGGTTAATTTAGAGAGTTCGGGGAGGGCACTCAGCTAATTAAATGACCTTAGCAAACTTTATTTCCATAATACTGCCTTTTCGGAAGTCTCAACGGTTCTGTGGGGTACATCAGAACAATTGGTTCCTCTCACCTTGCTGCCACCCGCTTGTTATAGCCTCAAAAACTGCTTTTTTTAGAGGCCTTTTATGCTACAACTCCAGCAGGTCCTCTGCACAGCAGCGAGCGCTGAGGTGACTGTGAAAGGTTTTTTCTGCCACTGAAGTTTCCCTTGACTACTTCCCCCTCATTGGCTCAAAAATTATGTAACAAAGAGCTCCATTAGTCCTTCTGGAGGATCTGATATAACAATGAGGCATTGATGCAAGGGCAAAGCCATGAGGAGCCTGGCTGAGATCGCTCAGAGCACTTTAGACCCGAATTCTTGTTCAGCGTCATGTAGACAGTCTGAAGCCAGAGCACCTTATTAGTGACCATTTCGTGGTCACCTTAATGTTCTGTTGTGTACGAAAAATTTTTTGGTTATGGTGGTGTATTTCTATGTTCAAAGACAGCAAGCTTTATGAAGATTCCTTCCAAAGCCAACTCACAACCATGTTAGTGAAGTTGAATGCTGCATAAGTCTATACGACCCATTGCTTAGTCTGCCACGGCCTTGACAAGTCGCTGGCATAGTAAATGTGCCTTTGCGGAAACGATGAATGATCGTCTCCTCTCGATTAAGGTGCATTTGCGGAGCTCCTTTTAGTTGTTAGCTAGTCCTCTCTCGTTCTTGGTTCTTCTTCGTTAGCACTAGTGAGAAAGAATTACATTTCGGACCAGTACTGCAGGCACATACTACTTATTACCTTATCTAGTAGCTGTACATCACTAAAACCGAAAGAGAAGCGCCTTCATGATCATAATCAAAGTTGGCCTAGCCATCCATCCGATGCATCACTCTACAAGTTAGGCACTGAATCGCGGCTATTGCAATCAATCCGGCTAAGGGAGAGAAGAACACCAGATTACAGTATCCCTAAAATCTTTACAAATGTCGTATCTGCACGAACTTATCTTGTTTTGGACAATAAAACCTGTTTTCGCTGTAACTGATACTTGGTTTACCTTCACTGTCAGTTCAAAAATTCAAGTGTCGGGGCCTTTACCGCAACCCTCGTTGTGCACATTTATGTGCCGTCGCATAACAATGCACCAGGAAGTTTGTTTTGTTCTTTGGATCTTGGAAGCCTTTAATTGGTGCTGGAAAAATATTTTTGTTGCAGCATCCTCTTAATGCCCATCCGGCTGCACAACACACCAGACCTGTTTTACACCACCGCAATATTATTTCTGAGCTGAGAATAACGGCATTGGTGAATTCCCTGTCAATCTGCTCTTTCTCCACTTTACTTCTTACGAGAAGCTAATTTTCCTTAGCCACAAATGGGTGGGGAAATAAAGGGTGGACAGGGGTGAACTTTTGATTTGTTTCTTGTTTGCGTGAACTGTAGACTGACTGGCCAGTCTGAAGATCGGATCGCATGGGGCCGTCAAGAGGTGGAGGAAAAATGAGTGGTGAAAATACGCTTTGCCATGATAAGCTGTTGACATTAACCATCAACGTGTCAATCAACGCCCTTTGAAGTACGTTTAACCTGCAATGATTGTTGATAGGGCGGAGGTTTTATCTGAGATGGTGTTTAGACGAATACAAACGACCAAACAAAATGACTGAAAAACTTGATATGACATCTTTATGACTGTCTGCCGGTCTGTTGAGCCTTTGTTCGAGCACAGCACCTCCTCGTCCTTAAAGGATCCCTTCGACGTTCCGTGCAGGAGAGACCGAATTTAGGCACGGGAATTTGAGGCAAGACTGATGAAGAGACGCGGACTTCAATTGCGATGAAGGACGAAAGAGGAGCAATGCTGCATTTCCTCCCTCACCTATGGTCCAACTATCCTCCTTCTCCTAGTCTTATTTACTACCGTTTTTGATCAGTCGGTCAAATGCAAAATAGGCAGTCAACGGAAACGGAAGTGATCCAGAACGAATTTGTCCCATCAACTGAAAATACAGCATGATTTATGCAGAAGGGAAGGGGAAGGGGAGGAGAGAGGAATTTACCGGAAGGCAAGTAATAGACCCTATTGCGACCTCCTTTAAATAGACCTTGACAACTTCTCTTAGGTCTTGCCAGTGTTTCGGAATGTCTGAATCCCTTCGAAGGAACCAAGTCCTTATGAGATGTGGAGCCTCTAATAGATGGCGAACCTTGACGAAGAGGCGGTCTATCCGCAATGCAAGCACCAAATGGACAGACAGATGACAACTGTCGGATTGACGGCTTGGCCAAGCCGCGTCCAGCTCCAGCCTGTCTAGGAGTGCAAAAGTCAATCAAAGCCAAAATTCTCTGCTCCAGCTGCCACTTAGCCCGCCTAAGTGTATGTTGTGGAGGTGATGAAAGTCACTGATTTGACCATATTTAACCACTTTCCTCGTCACATTGTTTGATTTGCCCGTAAAAATGTGTAATTGAAGGTCTTCTCTAAACCAAAACTTTCAAAAGTTGTCCATACTATGTGGTCATGCCAAAAAAAGGGGTTTAGACTGGTACTACGTTTTCTAAATCCATTTAGGATACTTAAGGTTCCAGAGTTAGGCACTGACACCGTCACTCGCCTCTAAACTTGAAAAGAGGAACTCAAACGGATGCCGCTAGTGCCACTAGCCGTTGTGCACTGGAAAATGCAGTACGCATTTGTCTACACACCAACTGCTGTGCTGAGCCAATAGGAAAGAAGTGGAGGAATCAGTCATATTTCCCCTTTGAGTCATCGTAATCAGCCATCACTACGGGCGCTGTCGTTACCCCGTTCAACTATCCAAGTGGAATTTAGAGAGACTAGTAATGAAAGCGTTTCACCAGAGCGTTGTAAGATAAAGAAAACATTGAATCCGCTCTTCAGCGCCATTGACGGCGCCTTCGGTAAAAGATTAACTCTCTCAGCAGCGATAGCTTCCTAATGTGGACTCGACCTCCTTTTGAAGAAACCTCAGCAGTCCGGTTGCCCAGTGTAACCGCGCGGTCAGATGAGAGAACGATTCATAGTCGATGGCACAGGAAAAATAGGCGTGTTTAAGATCTTCTGTTGTGGACAACTGCCTCTGCCTTACTACCTTATCACATGCGTTAAAAAAGCCAGTCGCCAAAGTCCATTTACTGCTGTTATATGGCAAAGCCGCTGTCACCTCCCAAAAGACCATCAAACGTTCGGTGTCTGTTTCATCGTCTCTCTGAGTGAGGTAGGACCCAGGGATGACGGTGCAAATACCCATGGGACAGTGCCTATCGGGGAAGTTTATTGCGACTGAGAAAATTGAGCTTAAATGGCCATTACGTTTTTGGTCGCATTCCACAAGCAACAACTATTTTTAACACATGTACTAACCTGCGATTCCAAAGTCTCGAGCTGGTCCTCAACCTACTCTGAAGATAATCTTTGTTGACATGATGCATTTGAAGGATGAAATAAACTCATCAAATGGTTCAACAATCTGTCGTAATACTGTTCTATGACAGTAGGAGGAAATCTGAAGGTCTATAAACTAGAATGAAAAGGCATTAGTAAGTGTCAAGCAAGAGTTCTTCCTTCCTGCCTGCTTTACACATACAGACAAACAGTTATGACGGTGATAGTTAAGTGGCATAAGTACATCAATCAATTGTCAAAAAATGTACAATCGCCCCCTCCTCATCGCTTACAATTACTACTTTGTGGTGGTGGTTCCCTCGGAGGTCTTCGCACTCTCCTCATTTGCTGTCCCATCAATTTCAGCGATCTCGGCAATTGTGATTGGTTGAGTACGGAAACGGGAGAGACGAGCTCCACTGCGAGCACCGATTCGTCGAGGAGTTCTGGAGCGCTTTTCAAAGTGCACAATACCCTCAGTACTCAATGTGATGCGAGGAAAAGTCTCCAACTCGCCTGGAGATGGAGTTGGTTGAGTGGGATTAAGCAGTTCGATACGTAGAAGTGGACAATCGTTGATGCTCATGGTCGTATTTCTCTGCTACTAAAGGGAAGATCATGTCAAAAAAGAACAGTTTTGGCCACGAAACAGATAATACCAATTAGTAAACCTTTATGCTAATTAGGCACAAGGCGAGTTCTCTCAAATCTATGCAGTTTCGGATAATGCCTCAAAGGGAAGGATCGCGCCACCTTAACAACAATTCCCATGCACTTCTACTGCAAGCCAAAAGTTGAAAAAGTATGACTAGCTTTATGCAGTGTGGGATAGAGGTCTACACTTATCGTATCCGTGCAAGAGATGGCATTTTCAGAATCCCATTTCAGTCCGTTGGGCTACAAAAGGGAATAACTGCGCGGGATGTGAAATACGAGGGAAAGATACGGCATTCAAGAAGCAACAACTTCTAGAAAGGCCGAAAAGGCGTGAGATATGCTTTCAACCAGGCCGTAATTGAGACATTTTCGTCGACCTTACCGGTACTACATACAGAGTAGACGTTGATTGGCTGAAAGGTCAAACACTTAATTTTCTTGACTAAATTTTGCTGATTAGAAGGGGAAATGATCTGAAAAAGGGCATAGGGAAGAAGAAGGTAGAAAATGCACATCAGAATTACAACTGGGAAATAGAGTTCAACATTTTATCTTTAATTTGCTTCGTAAATAAATGCCGACTAATTAACGGGGTGCGATAGGATGCGCTTTAAATAATTAAAAGGCAAGTAGCTAACCAATACCAAACAATGAAATTGGTTTTTATGCTATCGTTGTATTTCATGCTTTTGAAAAACTGCGCAATATATGTCTTGAGAGGGGAGAACATGAGTTTATTTCTTAATCCAAATTTCCGAATATTTTTTATATTATACTAATTAGGTGTTTAAGAGGAAAAACGGCACAAATTGAACTTGTGATAGGCAATCCACGGTTGTTTTAATTGACGTAAGCAAATACCTCGAAGTCGACGGGCCATTATTTTAGTGAGAAATTTATCTGTCGAAGAGGATCTCAGCCAATATGATATGTATGACCAAAAGTCCGTGTCGTTCTTGTGCAGTAAATGCGATTTTTGGCAGTAAACAATGTTTCGGGACAAAAAATGCACCGAAGTACTTTGCATTAAAACTCCAATATGTGGGCAATACAAAAAAATGGTCACAGAGCAAAACGAGTCGACAAATCTGAAAGTTTGTCAGAATTTTGTTGAACCATCCCTCACTTATAGTCATTTGATTGTTCTGCCATTTTAGGATTGCACACAATTCTGAATAACAAAATCAGATCATTGGCTTACAAATGACACAATGATTGCACGTTTCTTATCTTGTACAAAATCTTTAATAGTCTCTTCAAAATGACTGAAAAATTACCGGAGGCTGGACTAACGGATCCACCTTCTGTTCTTAAACAATCCTCTTTCTGTGAGGCCAGAAAAAGTTCAATTGTTGAGCGACGAATGATGGTAGAAGCAATGTTGGCGCACAGACCAATGAGAGCACGAGATTAACTTTGAATCGGCACGCCACATTGCCATTGGCTGATGGGCGTGCACCAAGATTTGCATCTGCATTTGGGTTAGATCTGTAGACTGTGGACTCACCTATCGATGAAGAGAGGGTGAATGAATGCACGCAGACGACCAAGCAATAATTATTCAGATGACCTATTTTGTCTGCCTTAAGCGGTGAAGTATAGTGTAAATTTTATTATTAATGTCTGATTTTATTAATATCTTAAAAGTCCTTGGAGAAGACCTTTGCCTTACGGCGCATTTCTGCGCAATAACCGAAAAACGTATTTTTACTTTACCGCTATTAAATACGCACTTCAATAATCATCTACTTTACCAACGATGTAAGATAGTACATTGGTCCCTGCGTCACATAGTAATGGTGTGACTACGTAAGGCTTGCTTATGTGCCGAGTGGGGTCAGAAGTAAAGCGGAGGGCATATGGTGGAAATCGTATTGATGGAGTTCAATGCTATCGGGATACAGCAAGCAGATCGTAGTAAACTGAGCGCTAGCAAGCAAAGAACCTTCCTTTATGCAAAATACGCAAGTAGAGGGGAAATTCCCATGTTGGGCCATCGCAAATAAATGGGACGCGTAATTAGGCCTACTTATACTAATTCAGTAGCACATCACGTAAAGCAAGAATACATTCGAATCCGTGGAATTATTCAGTTTAAACAACAAGAACGCAAGTGTCTTAGCGATTTTGTTTATCATCGTTAGTACTTGCATTGCTTTGCATACGTGTGTGAAGGAAAAAAGTGCAGGTACTTTACACTACATCAGCTGTCACAGGTGGGCCATCTGTTTACTAGATTGGGACACTGTTTATACTTCTTGTCTTTTGGTTGTTTGTGTGATGTTATTTATTCAATGCTGTTTTTATAACGGATGAAAATTAGTCCATTTTGCTTAAGTTGCTCCTACTTCTCTGTGCATTGTGCCTCCCGACGACGACATACTTCTCGAGCTGTTGCCGTAGTCTGTTGGCTCTACCTTTGGAGAGCATGAACCCATTTCCAAGCTGATAGCTTTTTCAAAGGAGTTTTAAGCGACTGAATAAAAATAGAGACTAATGCTTAATATTTGGTTTGAAGACCTGTTTTCCTTCCTGTACTGAATTGGGACACTAATCACAAGTTAGGAAGATAATGTTAGCATGTAGAGAAAAAATAATCCCAAAGTTTTAAGTCCGCTAGGATTTAACCTTTGAGTTGGTAAAAGAAACCATATAAATATGAGGTTAGCAGAAGCTTTAGGCAGAGTAAAAGCTACTGCGGCAATTGTATCAGTCTTAGATAAGTAAATTAATTTAATGGCCTTTGTTAGCTGGAGGGAATGTTAAATTGTACGAATTTAAGAAAAGAACAGAGTTTTCGATTTTACTTAATCCTTTATGAGGACGATTTCGAAGCTTATGTGATTGGACCACTAGTGTCCCAGGTATTGGTAGACGAATACGGCGTAACTATTAAAACCTGTCTGTTCCGATAAATTTACTACTTAAGTTTACTAAGTAAAAACCATATGCTCACAAATGTATTGCGCTATACAATGCGCGTATTAAGCGTTACGAACTGCTTTTACTTTAAACCAAAATTGCGACTTTAAATTCACGCAAAGCACCATTAATCATCCCTTCTCTTATTAATTAAGACTTCCATAATCCCCTGTTGAAGCATGCTACACCTCGTACCGACTTACGCTTTTTCTGGGTCTGCCTATTTGTAATTTTCCTCAAAAACTGACGGCTTTTCAAATAATGGCCTTCACTCGGAGCGCGTCAATGACACTGTGTTGCAAAGAACTGGTAAAAGTAACAATTCTGCTCTAAATCTCTACATTGAGGTAGGGTCGAAGAAATAGCCTTTCAAACCTTTTCTTTATACCCTTATAGTTGTTTTATTGAGGATACTTCCCCATCCTTTAAAATTACGTTGAATAATTTTGATATCCCAAAAAGGCAGGAACTGGAAACAGAGTAAATCAACTGATTATGAGGCAAAGCTCAAAGTATCAATGAGTAATAAAAAAGGAAATGTAATCATTTAAATTTTCTTATTCAAATCAGTTCTTGGAAAATAAAGAAGTAGGAACTCGAACGAGACGAAAGAAGGGAAAAACGAATTCAAGATAAAGTTAATCATCTCTGTCTTTGTCATTGTCATCGCTATCATAATCTTCATGATACGACCTTCCTGTTCGACTGTGAAAACCACCTCCGCGATAGCTCCTCCAGAGGTCATTTCCCTGTTCCACATCCTTATTGTAGATATCGTATCGGTCAAAACCGAAACAACCATATCTTGTACAACCGATATCTAAATATCGTTCGCCATCTTCATCCTCCTCGTGATAAGTACGACGTCTTCTCCTGTCAAATTTGGGGTTATATTCTGAGCTGTATTGACGGCCCAGAGCATCATGCCTTTTGCGATCACCACCGTCGTCTTCATTATCGCCGCCATCATCATCGTCAGAGTCAACGACACCATCGTTGTCGTTGTCGCTGTCAACATCATCTTCTCCATCATCATTTTCGTCATCTTCACCTCGGAACCAAAATTTCAGCTGAACATTTCCATCTTCATTGCTAATTTTAAAAGCGGACTCCAGAGTTTTGGAGTCCTGTGGGTCGTCTTTACCCACCAAAATTTTCTCATCTATGTCTGGGCTTTTGTCAACATCCTCCTGGAAATTTGAGGCCAAAACTTCATGGAGAGCAAGTGTTAGCACCACAGACAGTAGGAAATACCGTGGAAATTGCATCTTGCTATGTTAGATTCGCCAAGAGGTGGACTCTATATATACGCCCTGATGACCTTGAGTGTCAGCCAATAGGAGTTGAAGCAAATGTTGGTGTGACTGTTATCATACGGAAGGCGGCCAGTAACACTGAGGGCGAGTAATCATCAACAAAATTGTTTAGCTTAGGGATTAGTATGCCCTTGCTACTTTTTCTGCCCACTAAGCCAGTAGGTGCCAGTGACGCGTAGACCTAAACCAAGAAGTAAAGCTCCGTTCTCCTCTCCTCCATTTAAGCGTGTAAACTCGTTTTTTGCCATTGAAAATTTACAAAAAAACGAATTGTAAGAGGTAAGGAAAATCTTGTATTTGAATACAAAAGACAAAACATCTCTAAAGTAAAATATTGGTCGAAAACGTAGAGTGATATCTTCGTAGTCCGGAGGGGGAGGAAGCAATAAAGAGAAGAGAACTGGGTCCTTGTGGCATAATCACTCAAGCTCAACTACTTTTTGAAGCCACCTTATCAGACCAGACTTGATCTTACTGAGCAGGTGTGCCAAAGTTACAAAGTCAGAGTCATCTCCTTCTTTCGGCCACCTGCTTTGGCTACCTTGAGGCCACTCATGATGTCGGTTTCGTAATCCATAGAACCTGACACCTTCAACGTCTCCGTTATGCAAATTACTGGTGGTTCTAAATCGGTCACGAATTCTCTGTGAATTTAAGGTCTCCTCTGCATTAGGCCAATCGTGTTCAGCTTGACGGACATAGAATGTCCTTCCCTTGTCTCGACTTCCGTATTCATTGGTACTTCCAAATGCCTTCTGTGCGTCCGTGCCAGCATCCACTCCTCTTACATTTTCTTTTCTGTCATCTTGATCCATTTTCTGCAACATAAAACTTGTATCATATGTCCTTTCAACCCTGGCAGCTTGCAGGTTGATAACCAACAGAGATGAGAGCACCACAAAGAGGCAGAATCGAGTAGTAGCGGCCATGCTTTCCACCAGTAAATGCAGCGACCCACAAACTATAACAGGCAGTTTATACGGCAGCAGTGACCTTCAGGTGCAGTTTAAATTGCGGGGGTGGGGGGCTTTTACAATACTGCGATCTCAAACAACACGTCGAGTAAAATAAATTTAACATTATCCAAACATACACAAGTGTGTTCTCACAAACAAATGATGCGTGGGCGACGAGTTTGACCGGCAAGCAGTAACGACTGCTCTCATATGACCTAAGGGCGGGGGTGTGAACAAATGGTCGGGCGAGCGTTAGACCCCTAGTGGATGACACGTTTAGGGGTAATTTAACAGAGTGCCGCCAGACATCCATTCCAAAGCCTCCATTTGCTTCATAGACGCTTCCAGTGACATGAGGTCATGCCACTTTGTCTGATTAAGCTCCACACCTCATCAAATCCGCCTAAAAGTCATTTTCATTTCCATCTACTCCTTCAAGTGACTCAATTCAGTGGAACCCAACGACATGTGTTAGGTGGACATGGAATTATGGAGTTGTGGATCACCGTTGAAACGTCTTTTTCGCCTCTCAGACCAAGGTGGTGAACGAAGAGGACAAGTAGGTGGCAGTTTGAAAGTCGTCACTTCGACGAGCAGATTCACCAAGAAGCAGGCGGATGCCTTTGACGAGAGGACTTAGTGTCAGTGACACCTGCCACTCCTTGAAAGTGCGCTTTATATCTACTTTGGGAGAAAGGTCCCCCTTTGGGTGGCTACTGCGATCCCCAAGCCAAATTATCAGTCATAGGTGGGTCTGAATTTGCACCGTCCAGCGTGTCCACCGTTAAGTCAGTGGTCACGTACACACGCCCAACACGTATCCGCCTTACTGACATTGACAAGCTCGGTGACAGAGAGGAAACTGGGATCACAAAATTAACTTCCTACTAAGATTTAGTATCACGCCTATGGAATGCCTTTTGAGCTTCATTACCATGATTTAATGCTGTGCTCCTCAGCCCCATTTTCTTGAAGGCCAGCGGTGGTGAGAGTTTTCCCCTGCTCTTCCCCATCCTTAATTGTCCGTCCCTTTGACAGGCGAAAATGTGAAGTCGCAAAATGTTGTTTTTGAGAAATGAGTTTATTTATCGAATGAAATTGGATACGAAAAGTTTGTTTCCTGCTATAAAGGGGAAGTGGGGCTGTTTAACATCTACTCAATCTCGGTCGTCATCATAGTAACCATCATCATCATCATAATTATTATTATCGTCCTTATCGTTATCCCTGTCATAGTCACGACCATAATCCAGACCGAAGACATAGCGACTACGCAATCGCCGACACATATCCTCCCATTCCCTTCGCGTTGCCTTACGAAGGAGTTTCCACAAGGAATCCTCAGAATCGCGGTCGTCTCTATCTTTGTCAAATCGGCGACTGCCTTTCCTTCCCTTCTTCCGTCCTCTTCCTCCTTCATAGTCGTCGCTGTCATCGGCATCGTCATCATCGTCCTTGTCCTTCTTGTCATCGTCGTCATCGTCCTTGCCCTTCTTGTCATCGTCGTCATCTCTGTAATACGGACGACCTCCTCTTCTCCTACTTCTGTATCGACTTCTGTCTCTAACAGCTTTATCGTCGTTGTCGTCATCATCATCATCCCTATCATCTAAGTCGTCGTCTCTGTCCTTGTCATCGAAGTCGTATTTGTCATCGTCGTCCTTATCATCTCGATCCTCCACTTCCTCTTTGTCGTCATCGTCGTTGGCATCAATATCGTTGTCACTCCAGGGCCAGAACTTCACTTCGACATGACCCCTCTCTGGCGAGACATCCCAATTCAAATCGTTCTCATTCTCTAGCGGTACAGCTTGCAAACCGACTGACATCAAGACCAATGCGGTTAAACCAATGTAGAATTGAATAGTTTGCATGGTTGGCTCGAGTGGATATAAAAAAAAGTAAACAATTTATCGAGGTTTTTATAAGTTTGTTACGACCTTGGACATGTGCCAGTCAAGTACGACTTAATGGGCGTCATGACATGTGATTAGACTGAAGTCATGCGGCACTGGCGTGCAGAATGGTGCCGTGACGCAGACAGAAAAGAACGGACAACGTCGCAAATAAAGCAACGCAATCAATTCAAAGACATTAACACACCCCACGGGACTGGTAGCAAAGAGGGAGTGAAAGCGAGAGAAGCAGTGTTAACTTAGCCATCCACCCACTCACGCATCAAGTCCGCCAACTTCGCACCGGTTCGTCCACCTGTCCACTGACGATGCAAATTCCTGCCATATTATGGCGTGGAGGTCTGTGTGACTTGAAAGAGGGCATTTGACATCACCTTTGATAGCCTTCGCACACTCTTCTGTATGACACTCGATGGCAACACCATCGCCAACATCAAGAGTAATAAAGGTCTGTCAGTCTCACATTTTTCGGTTACATTGCGACTCATTCAGACCTTTTCACAAATTTTGACAGGCCTATAGTTTGACCTATTACCAGAAGGGCGGACGCGAAGTCAATGGAGCAGTGGGTAAACCAAATTAAGCCTAATTTTGGTGGTCATGTGACGCACGTAAACAATACAAAAGTTCACACAATTAGCGTTGTTAATAGCCCGATTCACAGGCATGTTAAATCAGTCCTCATAGTAGAGCTTCTCTAAACTGATCGGAAGAGACCTGCTGACGACCAAAACACTTTCATGTCTGAGGATTATGCAACACCGTTCCACCTCCGCATTCCAAGGTCTTCTTTCGCCCACTTTGTCTCGCAGTCGACCAAAAGGAAGAAATGATGAAAGTGTAAAACTGTGGTGGAATTGCCAGCTCAACTACACGAGCTTACAGAACTCCATTGTCACCCCGAATGAGGGACATTTCCTTGATGTAGTACTAACCTCCTCAGATGAAAGGTGGAGTAACAACGAAATCCTTTTTGATGCAGTTAATTTGATGATTCGAGGGCTGGTGCCACTTCCGAAGGGTGAAAGGTCAGAACTCTAACATCACCAATATAACATTTGCTTTGCTGAGAGCAAAGAAGATTTTGAGGGGGTAGGGAGAGGATTCAAAAGAGTTAGGAACTACGGTTTGAGCTCGCTGACAGCTCCCACCCAACTACAGTAGCCAGGAGATGGCGACCTCTAATGTCAACAATTTACACACATCTTGAAACACGAGACTCAAATTCCTGCCCACCTACTGTGGACCTAGAGGAGGAGGAGGTGGTATGGTCCCATACAAACCTCCTTATTTTCCCTTGACTCTGCAATGAAGGTCAGGAAATCAAAGGTGTCTTCAACCCACTTCTGCCGATACAAAGGAAGTTAAAGCAAAAAAAAATAGATAATTGAAAATTGTAAGATCTAGAAAGTAGTCTTCTTCGTTCTCTAGGTGTGTGTGCAGTTACTGACCTCTTTAGTAGTAGTAGTAGTAGGACAGCTACATGCGCATTGAGGCAGCATTTTTAAGAAGTTACCAGACGGTGCTAATACGAATCCCCAGCACTTCTCCTATTGATTATAATTTGACCACCGAGAGACGAGTAAAAGGACCTTTAAACCTCACAGCCTACCTTGAAGTTGACAAATTGGGCATCTCATTGGATACGAGCGGTTTTCAAATGCAAGCAACAAGAAGTGTGTTCAACATCCTTGCTTTTAGGGACTGGCGAGACTTAGGCCACCTTGAAAGGGTTGAGAAGCCCTTGAAGTTGTACTTGTTACTAAAGCAAAACAGATGCCAGGATGGTTGGAAATGGACCAACTATTGGGCGTACCATCCAAAGTACTCTGGTCTCAAGTCCATGCCCACCACCGATCAGACCTCCTCATTTGTTACACTCCAAAAGCACATTGCTTTTAGCATGACAGGATGACTTGGCAGTGTTCATCAATGCGTCACGAAGACAAAACTGGTAATGATTTGGCGTTACCGATAGTTATAAGATATAAAAACTACTTTTGTGTCGTTGTCGAGAGTTTATACCAGCGAGAAGTATAACTGGTTAGCCACTCAGAGAGTTTGTGTGCTTTCTAGCCTCCCACGCGATCAGTTCCAAAGATAATTGACCGTCATCGTATCTAGCATAAACAAATGAAGTTAAAAGAACACCAATGAAGCTCTCAATAAAAGAATTATAATTATAAAACGAACAACCACGCAGTTTGCCACGGCCCATTGTCATCGAGGAGGAATGCGTGATTGAAGAGTCATGGGCGAGATCGTGAAGCATTGGTAAGTGCCACTGCTGGTCACAATCGCAGTGATGACAGAAGAACAATTTGCTTTTCAACGACAACTACCAGTGCCAAAGAATTCAAACACGTTTTCTAAGACTATGTAGCTCAAAACAACACTATAATTCCGGAAGATGCTCTCCCAAGGCGGGAGTATCCCAAAACAATATGACAGTCACGAAAACAACTTTAAAGATCCAACTTTCACGCGATATTGAGTGCAAAATGGAGAACACTGCTATGATGAGACCGTGGAGACAATCACACCCATGTTCGGCATTCCACGTGAAGATCAGATACGGAAAAGGCTTGCAAGAGGCGCATATTTCACCAAGTAACTAACTCAAACTGTCAACCTATTCCCTTATCACTAACCACGTAAACAGCTTCCAGGAGAAATCTCAACTACAGTGCCTGATTACTTTAACCACATAACTGACACTCGGTAAGCAGCAATAAAAGGAAACAATTGAAATCGCATGAGTGCCAAGACACCAACTACCAATGCACCACCTCCAGCACTGATTAAAAACGATGTTGCAAATAAAACCTGACCACTCACATTCCGACGGTCCTCCCCACCCACCCCCTTCCCAACCATTTTACACTAACATTAAATCAGTTCCACATGTACAAGTCCCTCGCACGAGGAAATCAAATTTTGCCGACATGACCGATCATTTCTACAGCACAAGTTCAAAATCCCACTAAAGTACTCCTGTTCATCGACCTCGATAAGCACACATCCCCCAAGTACCACCCGCAGCCTAGCGCACCCAAACTACACACAATATTTGAAGATTCACACTACCAGAGTCTGAGACGACGGATCTAGCTAAACAAATGTGCACCTAATTATAAATGCACCAATATTTCTCTAAAAGAAGTTTTCCTTGTGAGCCCACCCATTTGAAACTTAATTTGTGCAAATTTCATCCCACCCACTACAAAGTGAGATGAGCAGCATGATTAGAATTCCGCAATGTTTGTGATAAGAATGCTATGATTCTCATTATTAGTCATAGCTCCTGAGACTTCCAAATAGGCAGACAGAGGCTTTATGTTGGACTGAAATTGCATTTTAGGAGGCCAGGAAGGGAATGGAACTCGGACCATAGTAATGCCCTACATCAGGCGGTCACATAAACAAGCACTTGCACCAACACTGCTGTAATGCTTTGTTTATGTAACTGCCTGGCATTCGGTGGTTAATTTAGGATTTGTCTGGCCCTTATACACGTGGACTGGCCTTCGGGCCATGCTCAGGTCCACTTGCTCTGCCCTCTTCGGAATACATCTACCCAATCTCACTTACTGCCTTCTTCCGCACTATGGAAAGTCTCGAGACGCTACAACTGCAGTGATGCATGCTTTGCTTAAAGTAAGGAAATATGCACTTCATAGGTATAATGCACGCACACTACTCCATGTCCTTTACTCTCGCGGCTGCAGCCGCCTAAGTGGCTACTGCATGCGGTTTCCCTCACACCAATGTCGATGCGAATTAAGTATGCATTGTAAATGTTTTCGTTCCTTCAATAGATCCATCGCATAGAATTGCCTACTCGCTCACTTCAGTAGCACGCTGGCGTCTCATAGAGGGCAAGGAAGGCTCGCAGCCGCATTCCATTCGTGCCTTTTTAAAATGCTTTTTGCGTTAAAATGACGTCAGTAGCCATTTGACCAACTCATTTTACTCCTCT